CTGAGAGAGGGCATCACCTGTCTTGTGGCCAGTTTTCAAGGGGAATTTCTTTCCAGGTTTTTGACCCATTCAGGTATGATATTGGCTGTGGGTTTGTCATACACCGTAGTCCTTATATTTTGAGGTACATCCATCATTACCGAAATTATTACGTTTCTTTAGCCACTATGAAAGGGCTGGGTTGATTGGTCAAAAGCGCTTTTCGGGCACTCATTGGAGATAAAAGTGGGGTTCTTGGTCTTTGGTTTTCTGTTTATATGCCTGATTTATGTTGGGCAGTTGATTTTTGGAATGTTGAAACCACTTTAATCCCAGGGATGAGCCCACGTTGATCATGGTAGAAAGCTTTTTGATTTGTTTGCTGAATCCGGGTTTGCCGTTAGTTTATTGTGAGAATTTTGGTACATCGATGTTCATCAGGGATATGGTCTAAAATTCCACTCCTATTCAACATAGTGTTGGAAGTTCTGGCTAGGGCAATTAGGCAAGAGAAAGAAATCAAGGGTATTCAGTTAGGAAAAGAAGAAGGCAGTTCTTTAAAATGCTAAATATAGGGTTTTCATGTAGCTCAACAACTCTGCTCTTAGATACACACCAAAGATAATTAAAATATATTTCCCAGTCAATAATTCATATACACATTTATAGCACTGTTATTTATAATAATCAAAAGGTGGAACAACCCAAATGTTTATCAAATGATGTATACGTAAGCAAAGTGTGTTATGTCAATAAAAAGGAATATTATTCACCCATAGAAAACAATTAAGTCATGATTCAAAACACAACATGAATAAACCTTGAAAATATACTAAGTAAAACAAAGTCACAAAAGGCAACACATAGTATGCTTCCATTTCTATAAAATGTCCAAAATAGGCAGATCCACAAAGATCAATACAAGATTAGTAGTTGCCAGCAACTGGGGGAAGGGGGAAAGGAGAGTAACTGCAAATAGGTGTAAATAGGCAAATCCACAAAGATCAATACAAGATTAGTAGTTGCCAGCAACTGGGGGAAGGGGGAAAGGAGAGTAACTGCAAATAGGTGTGAATTTTCTTTTTGCTTTGATGAGTATGCTTTGCAATTACATAGTAGAGATGGTTGTACACTCTTGTGGAGATACTGAATATAATTAAATTATGTACTCAAAATAGGGAATTTAAAAAAAATGCATTTGTAAAAGAAAAAAAGAGGTTTAGTCTAGGATCAGGGATGTGTGTCAGTACTGCCATGAACAATAGAGAGCCACACAAGCCACATACTGCTATGAAGTGGTGGTAGGTAGAAGAGGTCATACTTCTTGGGGGTGGCCTTTTATGCTCCTTGGAATAATAACCATGGCTTAGAGGACCTCACCTTCATCAAATGTGTCCCATTTCCTAGGTAGATCTGCTGATATTCAATGGGCCATGCAGCCATCTCTCTTGTACGTTGGTGATGTCTAATGAGCAATGCCAAAGTGTCTCCACTTCCCAATGGTCTTGATTTTTTTTCTTTTACACCATGGAAACTTTGTATCATCTTAGGGATAGGGATTGGGGAGAAAATTCCAAGAATAACTAAAGTTTGATCTTTTTATCATCTAAGGCATTATTTTAACTGATTCAAAGAGATAAGGATTAAAAATAAGTTTTTTCTTGTATATCTGAGTTTGTTGACTGAGACTCATACTTTTTACCTTTTATTGGAAACTTAAGTTTCTTCCTTAGATTATTACAAAAGATGCACAAAAAGTTCGTAAAAACAAAGATCTCCTTTTGCAATTATAGCTATTAGTACTATGTAAAACAAAAACAAAATCTTTTGATAAGGAGAACTCATTCTTGACTCTGCTATTTATTCAACGAAATTTCCAGTTCAATCACCTATTTGTCAATCAATTCAATTCAAATCAAATTCTATTTAATAAATTGTGTTCCACCTGTCTCTTCATGTCTCCTCTTTCCCCGATAAATCCTTTGACCACTTTGCCTTTCCCTCCCGGCTGCCCTCTTGCTGTGTTTACTCCCAATCCATCTCTGTGTTAAGTATCAATCCAGGAGTCGCCTCACCAGGGCTGTTTCCTTTTCACTTGCATGGCTTTGGTGCCTATGTTATAATAATCAGAGAGAAAGAGCTCGTGTCTGCCCACAGAGAGCTTATTAAAATATTAGAACTTATTTTGTCCAATCCTTGTCTTTCTGGTGTGTATATTCTTTAGGCCTTGGCCATCCTGTCCCACATAGAGACTGCCATCATAATCAGAAACAGAAACTTAGCTTCTGCATCTTTTGTCCCTTCCAGATGATCTTTAACACATTCTGCAAAGCCAACAACAGTCCTCTTGGTCATCAAGCCTCACATTTCAAACCTTTTGAATGTTTAAAAGGTTGTGCTTAAATGTGTGATATTTGCTGTCATTAGACAACTATATCTTTGACCTTTTATTGCATTGTTTCCATCTTATCAATGATCATTGTTTCAGTATTAGGAATTGATACCCAAAGTCTTATCTCAAGAGTATGTGACAGAGGAAAATTTAAACATTCAGAAAGATTCCTCATGAAGCAACAAATTAGCTTTTCATATACAATATTTGAGCCCTAGGTTTTTGTCAGGTTACTGGATTCCACTTCTCAGACCTGTGTTTCCCAAAACAACACAAAACTATTTCCCTCACCTGAGCAGGTTGCTTTAGAGAGAAAGCAAAATCAGAGCTCTGCAGGCAAGAATTAGGCAGGAGTGTAATCCACTTTCCCATAAAGGAATAACCTTCTGTCTTCAGAAATGAGGCATGTTTTACACATTTATGCATTATTATTGGTTAATTTCTCAAGTCATAGATAGGTAACATATTAAATTATAAAAGTTGAAGGTTCCAATCTTGGTTAGTGGTAATTACTTCCAGAGAATATTGCTTGCCTCCCTGATTGTTAACTGCAGTCGTGAATTTACTCCTGGGCCTCCCGTGAACCTTCTCCTCATTTGTATGGCGCATATATTTCACTCAGGCTCAAAGGCTTCTGCAGTCACTCTTACTAATTTATAAAATTGGTTCACCTACAATTTTGAGTCTAAGGAGGGAAAATGGCTTGCACTGCTCCCAGGGAGAGAAGATGAATACAGGTAAAGTGAGTCCCTGAGTGATAATAATGACAACCACACCATCATTTATTGGGAACTTACTATATATCAAGCATTGATGGTATATCTTTCAATTTTATTATCATTCATGTTCTTTCTATATGTTACTGCCCTATGGAATGATGAGGAGATTGAGCTTCAGGGAGTGGGGATAAGGAAGTCAGATCGTTGAGCCATTTATCATTTCTGGATCTTCAGGCTTACTTAAACCTGTCTTTCGGGGTTTGAAGTTAAGCCCCTGCCCCAACTTCCTTCTCCATCCTCCCATGTCCATTCAAAGATGCAGATTAGATCGAGGGAAATTTCTCTTAATAAGGCAGGATCTTTATTTCATGAGTGCTTCCTGAGTATATCTAATGCTCAAGCAAAACATAGCAAAGTCTTTGTAACTTACCCAAATTTTTGTGAAATGCCTGATTTAATGAACTTTTCCAAAGAATTATGGTTTCAAGTACAAGCAATAATACTGCTTACATAAGAAGGAGAATGGCTAGCCCAAATTGTATGCCCTATTATAAAAATCTCATTAGTAACTGACAGTGTTCATTTGTCATGTGCTTATCCCATGTGTGCATGCTAACTGCTGTTCAAAATGGTCTGTTTGACTTTTCTTCAGGGAAGATGAACATTTTCCCTGTTTATGGGATGCACTGACTGAAAACGTCATGTACTAATTTCAATTATTCAAATTTAGAATAGATGGAACATGTGTCAATGAATTATGCTGTTGAATTATAACAGCCAATATTTGTGAAAGAACAACATCCCACACAGACACCCTCTTTTCTTTTGAGAAAGGCCCACCAAGCCTGGATCCCATAAGTATTCTAGTCTCAGGAAAGAGAATAGTAGGAAATAGATTGTATGTTTTTTTCTTCTTGGGAGAGGGTTAAGATGAGATGTAAGAAGGTGGGTGGGGAAGAGCTCCAAGGTGGGAAGCCACACGTGGCATTTCTCCTGCTCCATTTTCTAAGTTGATATCAAATATGGGGCCAACAAATGACCTTCGACCCAACTTCATTTATAATCTCTTGGGAATTGTGCATTTGCTGTGTCCTCCCAATCTCATGCATTTACTTCCTTAAACTTCTGTCTCTGTAAAGGACTCAATGCAGCTAAGAGAATAGCTATTTAAAGGGCATGGACCATGCCACCCTTCATTTTATCCCTGCCTATTAGCACAGTGAAGGAATACTGGAGCCTTTCCAACTATCTGCGAACATGTGAATGTCTTGTTCTGGGTTATTTACTTTTCGATTGTCTCCAGATTTTAGAATAGGGGTGGTAAGAACTCTAAATGCAGAGTCAGGACACGTCTTTGAGCACAGAGAGTTGGAAAGTGTATTTTCATGAAACACTTTCTAAAGAGCTCACAGAGATTAAAGAGTTCACCAAGATTTTGGACAGGAGTTTGAAATTTACTTAATTATTTCCAAGAACAAGGCTGGAGGGAAAACAGCCTTGGTGGGGATTTGCCAAGCTGGGTTTGAACCTGGCTGCACTTGTTTGGGTCCTTGAGGCATCCTTCTCCTCTCTGTAAAATCAGGGAATTTAACTACTATCATTTCACCTCAAGATAAATTCAGGGATCAAGAAAATTCCATTGTTTCACAAAACACAATTTCTTGGAACTTCCAGCTAGAAAGGAAGTAGAGAAAGGAGGGCAAATATATTGCTCCAAAGTGAGGGTGATATGTTTTGTGGCACTGGGTGGAGGAGGCCCTGTGAACTGTGCTGTTGCCTGGAATCAACTCTCTAAATGGCTGCTCCACTGTCATCTCCCATGCATGTTCCTGATAGGGATTTCCAGACATGTTGCCGCCACCAGCATCCTTCTCTTAGGGAAGGGTGGGTTCTTGTTACCAGGAGGCACAGGACCTCAAGAGAAGCACCATGAAACCAGGTAACTTGCAACTACTATAGGAAACCCCGAAAGATAGAGTGATTCTGAGGCAGGAGAGAGGAAGCAAAGTGAGGGGACAGGAGATAGAATGTAGATGTCTTCACTACCTATGCATTACTTTCAAAGGTAACATGGCCCGTGAATCCATCCTTGTGAGGAACAGCCAACCCTCTGCCATTTAGGCAAGGCCACTTAGATTAAGAATTAAAAATCATATTTCAGCAGTTTTCTGTTTCCTATGATAAAGCTCATTTTCAAAATATTACATTTTATTTCAAACTCATAGTTTCTATGTATTATATGAGGAATTGTATTAAACATAATTATATTTGAGCTTCATTTCCTCCATCATGCTTTTAGCACCTCTACTCTTAAGATCTCTGCAACACTCAGATCTATGTTAACCAAACGTGAACTTGTGGTTCAGTCCAGGGTCTCAGTCTGCCTGCAGGGGCATGGTAGGAGCTGCAATGCTTCCAAGAAAAATGTACACCAAGCAGAATAATGTGATAAATGCAATCTCTGACACCATTTTCTCTTTGACTTTATAAAGAAAATCATATCTATTTTATAAAAAATAAACCAAGAATAATTTTAGAATAGTTTCATATTACTTTAAGGGAAATTTCCACTTAGACTAAATATCCATAATTGTGCAGTCAGTTACATTCAATCCTTTCTGCTATTTTCCCCAAATGGGACTTGAGGAGATACTTTAAATGAAAAACTGCATCATATATTTCAAATAGGTTGAGAAAGGTATTTGAAGTCATATTTCAACTTATTGTTTAAAGCAAGTGAATGAAAGGAGGAGGACCTGGATACACAAGCATTTTATGAGACCATCTAAATATTAAAACATATATTACCAAGATTACAACTGTTCAGGAACAAAAAGGCAAGAAATAAAATTATGGTATGACACTATTAATTCCATTCACTTTCTAAACTCACAGCCAAACATAGGTTATTCATGTAATGCTTTAAAATTTTAATTTTTCATTGCTTAATAAAAAAATAAGTAATTTGGAGGTTAAAACAGTTTAATCTTTATAACATGCTTCACTAGTTCATCTATTTATATAGTTTTATTAATTTTTGGCCCCATATTAAGTGGGCTTTTTCAGCTTTTTGGTCAACTGAGAAATATATATAAAATAACTATACACATATACATTTATGTATACATATGTGTATATATGAGATATAGAAATACATACATACACGATTTTTTTTCCTTTTTTAATGGGATCATGACCATTCAAAGATGGCTTTCACTAAACAAGGTGGTCTTCCTGGGTCAAGCTTCTTATCTTTGTGTTCATGCTGACTGACAGCCGTTCATTCAAGAAAAACCTTGTTTTATGCAAAGAAGCATGGAATACGGTGTGTCGGAGAGAGGGTAAGTATAATACAACTCAGTGCATCATTCATCCACTCAACCTGATACCAACGCTTTGTAAACAGAAAGCCTAATTGACCTTCCTTGACACGTATTTCCTGTTGCCCATGGAAATATTTCTAAAAGTGCTTTAATACATCCTCATGCCCTGTCCTGGCCACCATTCAAAAGGCCTGAAGATTAAACAGGAGTGTTATGAGGTTTCCCCAGGAGGAAGTGGTCTGCACTTCAGTCTGACGAAACTCACTCCTTTGAGCAGTGGCTATTGCTTAGCACCTCTGGGGAGACAGCACACTTGGAGGCGATACAAAGAAAAACGCCACTACCTTGTCTCCTCAACGGTAGGATTTATTTCAATGCTCACATACAATTGAATGAGACAAACTATTTACATAAAACATAAGTACAAAAAATATAATACAATTTATACTGTACATAATCAGGAATCCCTCGTTTTATTCTCCACACAAACGGCAGCTAGAGATGGTAAGAAGGGAGTTGCTAGGAAAGGGTGACTGCGTACTCAGCAGTGCTGAGGATAGATCTTCAGAATGCTTTTTCATAAAGATGATGAACAGGGTTGAGATACAGAAACTGGCAATGCACCAAGAGCAGTAAGAGAGCACAACATATTCACTCCTGTAATAATAGCTACGTTTTTCTTTCTTATAAACGTGTTTGTTTCTCACAGTTGAGGCTTGGAGCAGGTGTGAGTTGACTTCCACTGGTTGGTTAGGTAACCTCCACCCACCCCTACTCCGACTTCCATAGTTGATCCAATGTAGCAGGTGATGAGCTTCCAGTTGCCACAATTGGTGTCTTAAGCTGATTTCAGAAAACACTGTATCTGTCAGGTGTCATTAAGCAACGATCTGGGATACAGACCTAGACAGCTCTCTCGGGAAGCATTGAAAACCAGTGAATTGATGGACAGGAAAGATAGAAGTCATGACCATTAGAAATTTCTATTGCGTACATCTAACAAGAAGGTTTTGAAGACTATCAATCGTTCAAATGTAAGGATTGAAAGAAAGTGTGGTGTGCCCATGGCCCCCTTAGGAAGGACCCAGCAATCCACAAGCGTTCTAGCAGAGCATCCCAAGATCCATTTTCTCATTCAAACAAAGGGGAAATGTAAAGTTGTCTCATTGTTTTAAAAAGCTAAATTGTAATTAAGATACATTGTCTTTCAAAATTAAATTTAAGATCAGTAACTTGTCTGCAGCTTGTCTGCAAGCTTACCAAGGGCTGAAATTGGCTTTAGAGAAGGTTAACAAAAAAAAAAAAAAAAAGAAACAATCTCAAATAAGTTTATTTTGTGTCACAAAACAGCCAACAGCAAATTAACACAGAATGAGGCATTTAACATTTGATAACATCTTTAAAAGTCACATCAAGCTGCATAGCACAAAAGTTTTGCTGTGCACTTTTGAAGAATCAAACATTGGACCAAGTTTGTGCATTTTCTTGCCGATGATGTAGAATCTCAGTGGTGAAACTAGGTGGTTGGGTTAAAGGTTCATACTGTGCTTTGTTTCAAAGTGCAGAAGTTCAGCTTGCTTTTGGCCAACAGTCACAGTACAAGAGAAAAGCAATCAACTTCAGTAGAGATAATACTAATACTTTTCTTAACCCAAATGAAGAGTGACAACGTTTGTGAACTTGTGAAGCAGTTTTGATATGAACTTAAAAATAATCAGGCAATGTTGTAGGTGGTTCTCATTCCGTGCTCACTGTATCTATGCCAGTTGTCACCAGCCTGTGTCTGATATTCCTCTATCTATGGACTTGCCTGAAGATAAACAGAAACGAAAACCTCTACCTTCTACAGGCATCATGTTGACATTCTTATTACAGAACAAATGCTATCATGTTTTTTTGGAACATGTAAAAATTAAAGTGATGTTAGTTTCTAGAAGGCTAATACTGAGGTCACCTCTCTTCTGAACATATATTGTACTTATTCTGGTTCTACATCCCTAATGAGGGCAAAAATCACATCTGAAGATGATGTGCTTCTCGATCATTTTCTATTCCTGAGTTCAAAGAGGCATAGGAGAATAATTTTCTTTAAAGTAAATCCAATCAATCTTCTGCTTCTAATTGGACCAATAGTATCCACATGAAATGATAAATGATCATCTTAAGCAAGGCACTAGCAACTTTTTCTAGGAAATTAAATTATCCACACTAACAGAGAGGGGAGAAAATGATGCTCTCATTTTAGCAACATGATAGAATAGTTCTGATTTTTCAGAGTCCAGATTTTGCTCTCAGTTTGTATTTATCTAACATTTGAATCATTTTATTACCGCCACTCATCTAACATTTGGACCATTTGGCATTAAATTGCAAAAGGCTGAGAAAGAACAGGATCACATTTGAACTACTGGCCCCAGATTTTAGAGCAAATATGAAGGGGTGGAATAAATTTTCTTGACTGACTGACAGTTTAAGAAGCACAAAAGAGTGATTTTCTACCTCCTCTTTCCTCCTTCCAGGTCTGAAAGTACCCTTGACTAGTTCCTGCCATTGCACCAACACAGTAAAACATGTTTGCTTGAGCAAGAATTGATATTGACTCCGATTGCAGGGAGTAAGCCTTTCTATGGCAGATATGATCTAATATGATCTATCAAAAAGACTGTGTTTTGAGACAGCTTTCACCAGGAACTGTACATTTTGTGCCAGGCTCTGAACATGAGAATGCTCTATGTCACTTGCAACGTGAACTCTATTTTCAAAAGAGGATAGGATTCTCTTCCTCATGCTTCTGTAACACGTACCACATTTCTGATAATGCAACAGGTGACCACTATACCTCTGATCTATCTGCTAAAACAATGTGTACAATGCATCTTTAATATAAGTCCGCAGGAAAGCAGTATGAAAGAGTCAGTTTAGAAATCATCACATCTTGTTTAGCTTTTCTATCACCAAACGAGAAAAGCAGCAAGGATTAAAGCAACATATTTTCCTTTGCTTTATTAGGTTAACAAGCAAGGATTAAAGCAACATATTTTCCTTTGCTTTGTTAGGTTAACAGAGCACATAACCTGAATTCCTTGGCTCAGTATTTGTAGAGTTAAAAAAAAAATTTAAATCAATTATAATTAATGACCTCAATAGGTGAGAATAGCAGAAATAAATTTCACGATGATCCCCTGTCTCCAAATATTTTATCTTACATCGTGCATGGCATTCCCTTTTGTGCATTTCTTAGGTCAAAGTGAACATTTTTCTATGTTCTCCCATTTCACCCACTGCCCAAAGAAGTAAGGGGCTCAGATGGCATCTAGTGTCTGACAAAACAAGTATAGGTAATTACAGATAACCACAGGTAGTCAAACATCGGCAACGCTGTGTCAACATGCTTCCCCAAGTACACCAGGAAGTGATGAAGAAGTTAGGATGAACGAATGGGCTAGGCATGGCCAAGGCCATCTGTAAACTCCAGTTTGTACCGTATCGTAAGTGGTGAAGAATTTGCATACAGTTAAGGTTATTGATACCTTCATAGACATTGATTATTGGAGGTGTGGGGCTTAAGCACAGCCCTGCCACGTGGAAAATGGTCAGGCAGTTGCAGTTTATGTTATCAACCATTGGTAGCTGCTGCCTCTGGTTCTGTGTTCCAGAGCCGTCTCTTGAGATAGAAATGCTGAGGTCAGTGGAGTTACCCCCAACGCCACACACAAGGAAATACCCATTGAAATGTAAACGACACCCTGAGCCTAAAGAAAGCTGATGGCCCAGGGACAACGTTGATGACTAAATATCTTGACAGTATTGGGGAAATATTTATGATTTATTCTAAAAGCAAAAGGAACACTGCAAAAAAGCAAATGAATATTTGTAAATTCAAATGCCAACAAGGCTGTGTTTAGACAAAATGATTAGCTAAGTATAGATTTGACATATGTTTAAGGTAAAATTCCCTTTGATATTCGATTATATGCTAATGATCCCCTTAGAGGGCCACTTGGGGACATGGAGAATGTTATTGAGACTTTGCTTTTTCTTTTTTTTTTTTTTGGTGACATGGTCTCTCTCTGTCACCCAGGTTGGAGTGCAGTGATATGAGCTCAGTTCAGTGCAACCTCAACCTCCAGGGCTCAAATGATCCTCCGGCCTCAGCCTCCCAAGAAACTGGGACCACAGGCGTGCACCGCGATGGCTGGCTAATTTTTTGCATATTTTGTAGAGACAGGGTTTCACCATGTTGCCCGGGCTAGTCTCAAACTCCTGAGCTCAGGTGATCCGCCCACCGTGTCCTCCCAAAGTGCTGGGATTATAGGCATGAGCCAGGGCACCCAGCCTTTGTCCATGCCTTTGACAGCATGACTCACTAATTCTACCAGAGACTCCAGTGGGAACACTCAGCAAAATAGGCTCTGACTCCCACAATTTCCATCCTTTTGCAGATGAATGAGGAAGTAAGGACGCCCTTGACTAAAACTCTGGCACTCAGGGCAGTTGATCCTGGCAGAATCCAAGGGTCAGACCCATGGACCTGTGAAGTGGGCCACCGTTTCTGGGAACTGTCCATAGCACTCACGGAGGTAACCAGGTCCCGCCTTTCATGTCACCTACTTATCCGACTGTTTCCTTCATTTGCTTCTTTTCTATTTGCCATCACCTGTGACCCGATGGGGCCAGACCCCTGGTTCATCCCAGACCATATGAACATATGAATGGACTCTCCCTAGGGACAGAGGTTTCTCCCCGGCAGGGATGCCCTCACCTTCATTCAATGTTCATCATCTCTTTTCAATTCTTTTAGAACCTCAGCCCCACACAAACACATTAAATGCTCTTTATTTCCCTCAAATATGAATGCTAACTCTAGCGAGGGTCTACTTGAACAAGCTTAGGGAAACATCTTTACACATATGAGGAAGCTGAGATGCCTCATATAAGTTACAAGAAGCAGCAGCATAGAAATATGCTCGGAGTGGAATGGGGAGTTCTGGAAGGAATGCCATGAGTCTGAAGACTGTGGCTCTTCCGTGCGGTGGAGCCTGACCACGTGCCCCATGAGTTCCTTAGAATTCACTAAGTCCATATCATTCAGAGGTTACAAGATCCCAGTTTCACCAAAGTCACATGTCCCTGGAGCTAAAGGAAGCCCACATGTTGTACAGTGTACAGAAATTCTGTTCTCCTTCCTGTAAACTGTCAGTACACTGTAAAATCAATATTAGATGGTGATGAGTCTAGCCTCAGGAAAGGACCCTGAATAGCACTGGGAGTCACTTTCAGAGAATTTAAATGTAAGACTAAAGCTTCCTCATGAAAACCAGCCAATCTCCAACTATATTCAGAAATAACTTTAGAAGTTAAACAGTGATTAATGTCATTTTACATCAGGTACAGACAGGTGTAGCTTAAAACTATTTGTTGCTTTTTGTTCCACTTGTAAAAAAAAAAAAGAAAGAAAGAAAGAAAAAGAATAAGGGAAGAATTAAAGAAGAAAGGAAAGAAGAAAAGAAGGCAGGAAGGCAGGAAGGAAGAACAAAAGGAGGGAATGAAGGACAAAAACAAAGATAAAGAGAGAATGAAAAGGTCATTCAGGAATTTGAAATGTGAACCACAAAGTTTCACCAGGACTCCCAAACAGCCCAGTCCTAAGGAAGAGCAGCTTTATGAAGGAGGTTCCAACACAGGGGAGAGATCGCACTGTGAAAGCCCAACGTGGAAGGGTTCACTCATTAAGCGTGGAGTATGGAGCCAGAACACGTGAACGGGAGCTACACAGTGATGGAGAAACACAACTTATTTCACAGCTGGTAAAAATACTTAGAATATACCTGAAATTATCCAAACACTTGCTATTCTGTCAAATAAAAGAGAGAAAGAAAGGAAGAGAGAGAAACAATGTTCCTTTGAACAGTGTGGTAGGAAACAAAAATGGGATTCTTTTGCAATGCTAATTTCAAAGGTTTATATTAGTAACAACACGAAGATCTTGTAGTGAGGGAGGGTGCTTTCCCAAGTCACTGCAAAATATTCATTAAAGACCAGCTTCGATGGCATTTAGAAACCATTTCCCATCAATTCCAGTGAAGTATTCTTGAAATATTAGAATTCTCTTTCCCAGGGAAAATAAAATGTCCCTTTAAGCTTACAAAATATTAGGGAAGAAGACTAAAAAATAACTAAAATGTGCTACATAGTGATTTTTTTTTTCTTACAAGAAAGTGATGAGATGAGTCGAAATACCTGATGAAAATCCAACCTAGGAACAATTAGAGAACGAGCTGGCTAGATTTCCCCTACTGAGTACGGACTT